TGCACTCCTGCTGGCACATCTCTGCACGCCCTTTTGGGGGAGGGGGGCAGCGGGGCTCCGTGTGCTGCCTGGGGCAGGGGCAGCGTGCAGAGCTGCCTCCCCCCCGCCAAGGGCACGCAGAGTTGTGCCAGCAGCCGTCGGCTTGCGGGAGCGACGTGGGGTCACCGGCCGCGGAATGCAGGCAGCCTGCCTGCCTGAGCCCTGCTGTGCCACCGGCCGGGACTTGGGGGCAGGTTGTCAGATGAGATTTGTCCTGCGTTTTGGGGGCCTCCCGTCATTGGGAGCCCCATGCCACTGCACTGTTTGTTTAATGGTAAATCCACCTCTGGAGATGTATAAAGAAAACCAGGGTGCTGCAGGAAGTGGGGTTCATGAGTCAGTATGTGACACTCTTCTCCCTGGAACTTACCCCACTTGGGCAGTGGGAAGCATTGTGCTGTGGAGGGTGGTGTCTCATACATACGCATGTAACCGAGGTGCTGACCATTTGTGCTCCCATAGCTCTTTAAGGAAGAGTAGGGGTGTTCTCCCCGGTGTTCTGTCCAAATTCAAACTGTAGTAATTCTGTGCAGCCTAAAATTCTATTTGTGGATCCAGATGAATACGGTATTCTTCACTCTGGATCCAGGTAGATTCGGTATCCTCCACTACATCAAGGCATTGTGTTGCAGCACATTGTTTGTGTGAATGATTGGTTACCATGTGCTTAGCTCTGTTATCGTATTCTGTGGGTATGTCTACACAGCAGCCTGAGGTGCATTTACAGCTTGGGTGGACAGACCCGCTCTAGCATTGCTAAAAATAGCAGGCTAGACATGATGGCATGGGCTTCAGCATAGGTTGTCCAAGCCCACCCAGGACCTTGGGGACGTACTCTCATTGCTAGCCTGCACTTAAATCCATGCCGCCATGTCTACACTTCCATTTTTAGCAGTGCTAACATAGATGAAGCAAGCACAGACTTGTCCCCCCAAGATGCCATCATTTGGGATTGCAGTGTAGACATGCTCTTTAAATTAAGGTGGGAAGATGGACCAATTCAGGTTAGCCTAACAAAATGTGAAATTAAATCCTATCCACAGAGAGAGAGAGAAACCTGTACCTATAGAGTTGCTGTTATCAAGATCTTACTTGGGTAATGAGCTTTGAAGGTATATAGGTATGGCTGATATTTGGTTTTCATTCTTTTTCTGCTGTAGATTCCTGGGAGCAGCTCCTCCCCTGGGGTCATGTGGACACTATAGTCAGTAACCCACCTTATGTCTTCCATGGAGACATGACTCACCTGGCTGAAGAGATCCTCAGGTGATCAGATAAGACCTTTCTATCTTTCTCTTTCCCATGCATTATTTCATCCTTCTCTGTTCTCTGTAGAGAAGTTTCAGGGGTCTAGTACCAACAAGTTAGGAGATATCCGTCGGGGATGGGGAGTGGTGGAATGCAGTCCAAGAAGGGCAACCACCTGACAATACACTTATTTGGAAGCCCGTCCCTTTCATTCCTGCACAAACTGAGGATCTTGGTATTTTCTCTCCTTCAGACCTAGTTCAAAGATTCCCTCTTGGCCCATTTGTTCCCTGGTGAGCTTGCCTACTTCTGATACCATGAGGAATTGGGCAGAAGACATGTGAAAACGCTACATGACTTAGAGAAGGGATCTGTGAGCTGGAAACACTTTCCCTTGTTTCTGGGAGAGCAGGAGTGGTGTTGAATGCCTGGCACGTTCCCATGCTAACTCACTGCAGTACGCTCCTGAATGTCTCCTGGGTAGTGATACCCCCAGGGTTGAATGGAGCAGCTGTAGTAATCAAGCTGCAACTCAGAGGGGCAGAGCTTAGAACTGACTTGCTTTCCATTGATAGCTATAACAAGAGCCACCATCTGTTACAAGGCTTTTGTCTAATGAAAAAGCTCTGAGTAAGGCCATTTGGGGACAGTAGTTGGGCCAGTGATCTGATGCATCACCTTCCTCTTTGCCTGTTAGTTTCCCACAAAACTGATTGAACTGGAGGTTCGAACTGGTTCCTGAGTCCAACATCTGGCATGATGCCAGTCCGCCACATCTGCCCCTCCTTCCCCCCCCCAAAAAAACAGAACAAAACACCCCCGTCCCTGAAAGGTGGAAACTTCCTGTTGTAATGATGTGCAAATTCAAACTTTTCTGAACTAGGTAGATCCTTCTGTATTGTACCCCACAGTGTGTTAGGTTAGATGGCAGCTCAACTTGGCTGTTGGCAGTGCTTGAGCCAGGAGAAAAAGTGATACGTTGTCCTGCTACCTACTCACTTTTGCACCAGTGACATAATTGCACCTTCCTAGCGGCCCAATTGAAGCACAGAATAATAATAATGCCACCTACTGGCCAAGTGAGTTGTAGTTCTGGTGAGTGCCCTTAGGCTGAGAGGGCAGTGTGGTGGACACCAGATGGCAAGTGAGGAGACCTGGGTTCTAGTCCACGTTCTGCCCTGAATATTCTGTGGCACCGGAAACAAATCATTTAACTTCTCCCCCCTCAGTTTACTCACAGTAAAATGGGGGTAAAACATTTATCCACCTTTGTGCAGCACTCTGAAAGGAAAAGGCCTGTGCCAGAGCTAAGAATTACTATTACAGTAACTCCTCACTTAACGTCCTCCCGCTTAACGTTGTTTCGAAGTTACGTCGCTGCTCCATTAGGGAACATACTCGATTAAAGTTGTGCAGTGCTCCCTTATGTCGTTTGGCTGACTTTACAAAGGAGCATTGCACAAGTTCCTCTTCTCTGCCTCCTCCCCCTCCCTTCCTCCCTCCCTCCCAGCGCTTCCCCCGCCGCCAAACTGCTGTTTGGCGGCACTTAGGACTTTCTGGGGGGTCAGGCAGGGAGCGAGCGAGCGGGTAGCTGTCCCGTTTTCCTCCTGCCTTCCCCCCCCCCCGGGGCAGGCAGGGCCACCCGCAACGCAGGGGCTTTAAGGGCTGCAGGGCCCTGGGCTAAGGGGGCCCTGGGGCCCTGGCCTGCAGCTCTAAAGCCCCTTTCGGAATGCGGCCCTGCGAGCACGGGCCGGAGGAGCAGGGGCAGCCGTGCAGCCAGCGGCCAGAGAGAAGCGGTGCTTTGAAGGGGAAAGCGCCGCTTCTCTCCAGCCGCTGGCTGCGCGGCTGCCCCTGCTCCTCCTGAATCCTCCGGCCCATGCTCGCAGGGCCGCATTCTGAAAGGGACTTTAGAGCTGCAGGCCAGGGCCCCGGGGCGCAGAGCCACTTGCACACCTTCTGCACCAAACAGGAGCTGCCTCAGGTAAGTGCTCTGCACTTCCTGCCTGCCCCAGCCCTGAGCCTCCACCCACACCTGCACCCTAACTCCCTCCCAGACCCTGCACCCCCAGCCCTGAGCCCCAGAGATAAGCCTGGGGCACCTCCCCACCACAGTACAGTACAGTATATAATGCCTTTTGTCTGCCCCCAAAAAATTTCCTTAGAACCTAACCCCCCACATTTACATTAAATCTTATGGGAAAATTGGATTTGTTTAACATTGTTTCACTTAAAGTTGCATTTTTCAGGAACATAACTACAATGTTAAGCGAGGAGTTACTGTACTGTTATTATTAAACGTGACTGGCAGGAGCAGTGCTATAGCTGTCAACAGGAGATCAGGAATGTCTGATGATGTTTGCCCCAAGACTCTCTCAGACTAGTCTCAGTGGCAATCTCCGAATAACTTCCTCTATTACACATACCACCCATCTGGGTCGCCAGAGGGATCTTTCAAACTTCCCTCTTTACAGATTCCAAAGTTACTGTGACCTTTCCACTGGGACACAGCCCCACAAGCCATCGCTTTCATGTGCCATGTGCCAAGAGACCCCTCTAGTACTTGTTCCCAGTGGGAGATGCTACTAACAACACATTTTACTGCTGTCTGTAATGGTGGGTAATGGAGAGATTTCATCCCTTGTCTTCAACCTCCAGCTACGAGGACCTTGGTGCCCTGGATGGGGGAAATGATGGGATGAGAGTGATCAAAAAAATTCTGGCTCTGGCTCCTTGTATCCTGAAGGATCATGGGTAAGCGCTGATGCTGTACTAAAATCCTAATGCCTATCTACATTTGACTTTTCATATCTTCTGCCTATTCCCACCTCATATTTTTTATGATCAGAAATATAAGCAAATACGAGGGGGAGTCAAATGCACATAAAAGAAGAGGGGAAAAAAGCCATTCCCTCTTAACATAAGAATGTCACATGCATTAGTAAAGAATTACTGATATTAATACAATCAGCCAGGGGATTATGCATCACGCTGGTGATGCTTGGTATTGTTGCCTGGTCATTATTTAAGTGGGTACCTAAAACTTAAAGAAATGAGGAAAAGCAGAGAGAAGAGAATAGCAGGGGAAGAGATGAAAAGGGAGAGCAGAAAAGAAGAAAACAGTTAAGTGGAGAGATATCTGGAGAGAGAAGCACTGTAGATACCCCTGGGTCGGTGATATTTATGGACTGTGGTAAGATATCTTATAAAACATCCCGGGGGGGAAACATCCCAGGGATTGTTTCTTGAGGGATTAATCTTCCCCATGATAAATGACCAGGAGATTCCCTGCTTCCATTCACTACCTTGTGATGTCCCTCATGGGATACTAGAGATCAGCACTGTAGCGTTCAACTTAGTCAGGACGTTCTAAGGGCACGTCTTCACTACCCGCCTGGATCGGCGGGTAGAAATCGATCCCCGAATCGTCGCGCGTACGCCACCTCATCAGGAGGAGTAAGCGGCGTCGATGGGGGAGCCGCAGCGGTCGATTTGCCGCCGTGCTCACAGCGGGGTAAGTTGAATAGGATACTTCGACTTAGCATAGCTGAAGTTTGCGTATCTTACATCGACCCCTCCCCTCTAGTGTAGACCAGCCCTAAGTGTCTAGTGTGACAGTCCTGACTTTTTACCAGCTCAAGAGAAGTAATTGAAAATCTCCTGTTGTGTGACGTTGGAACAGGAATATTCAGTGTCATTGTGCTACAGGGGTGCAGACATGGAGTCATATTCGTTCTTAGAGCTTTGATTGACCACTGAAGCACAAAATCTTCTTCAGAGTTTTCCAGGATTAAGCTCTGTAGAGTGCTTATTTTGTATTTTAAGGTGGAGCCCATGTTGATGGGAGAGAGTTTTTAAGGTCAGGAATGAGATCCAAATCCAGGCATGTAATTAATTTGGCTGAGGTAAAGAAAGTGTTCAGTGTGGGAATGTTTGGGGATTTTCAGAGGGGCATATAGTTAGGGTTTGGCTCTTTTTTTGCAGTTTGGTGTAGCCTACGAAACTGTCAGCGGCTGCAATCAGTTTCAGAAAACTAGGAGTGAATTCAGATAGTTCAGTGATAACTGTAAACACACTACCTGTGTACATGGAGAGCTTTATATTCCAAGGTCCCTTTGATACTGGAGTGAATTTACAGCTGCTGAAAGCTGCTGGGTTGACAGTTCTGGAAACTGACGTGCCCTAAGTATTCACCGAGCTAGAACAGTATGAGCAGCAGCAGCACAAACCTCCAACCACCTTCCCTGCTGATGTGAGTCATGCGCAACCTGCAGTACCTACATCAATGAATGCAAAACAGAGTATAGAGTCCAGGCCCAGCTAGTCTTTGGCCTCTCTGTTGAGACATCCGGCAAGGGGGCCATCTGGCAAGGTGGTGGCTTTTTTGGGTTGGGTCCCTGTCCAGTAGGAACTGGACTGAGACCAGCACCACTTGTCAGGTGACCAGATTCAGACAAGCAGCCTGGAGATAAAGGCTCCTGTCACACTGGTGGTGTACCTTAGGAGCTAACGGCATTGCCTTCAGTGCGGCTACCCTGATGTGAAGGTGCTGTGAGAGGGGATTCAGACCCCTGTGTACCTCAGGTCTGGCCAGCCCTCTCCCCTCATCCTAGTGCCTCAGGCTCACAGTCGTTCATACTGCAATGGCCTCCGTCATCACCCACTCCCTGTTAGCCTCATCTCTGTCTATATTAGGTACTTAGATGACCCCCATTACCATAGTATCTGAGTGCTAGTGAGGCAGGGCAGGGCTCCCATCCCCTTTTTAGAGAAGGGACTGAGTCCCAGAGAGACTTGCCCAATGTCACACAGAGTCTGTGGCAAAGAAGGGAATTTTCCGCAGTCTCCCAAGTCCCAGGCTAGCGCCTAACCCCTAGACCATCCTTCCTCCTATCTAGATCCTTTCCCCGTCCCCCTCTCTCTTTTGTACGATCCCCTGCTATATGTTCAGCCTGTGGAACTCTTTGCCAGAGGAGGTTGTGAAGGCCAAGACTATAACAGGGTTAGAAAAAGAACAAGATAAACTCCTGGAGGATAGGTCCATCAGTGGCTATTAGCCAGGGTGGACAGGTATGGTGTCCCTAGCCTTGGTTTGCCAGAAGCTGGGAATGGGCGACGGGATGGATCACTTGATAATTACCTCTTCTGTTCATTCCCTCTGAAGCACCTGGTATTGGCCACTGTCGTAAGACAGGATACTGGGCTAGATGGATATTTGCTCTGACGCAGTATGGCTGTTCTTATGATTGGTCGTTTTATGAGGGTGATTCTATCAGGCTGAGTTATGAAGACATTTCCTGTGCAAGGCTCCAAGCAGCTTGGTGGGGATGCTTTGCAGATACAATTATTTTTTATGATTATCCCCCATGGGGAGTTGGTGCCACCCAACTGATGCAAGAGGAGAATTGTTACTGCCATCATTCAGTTACAGTTGTAGCCTAGAGCTTGCCCTTCACCGTCAGCCTGCCTTTACCTTAAATCTTTGGAGTCCATAGCTAGTGCTGTCTCTATTATAGGTTTACTGATTCACAGGCCATAATCCCAAGCCTGCATCTCAGTGGCTGTGCTTTAATTACGCAGGTTGAGTAGAACCTTACTCTGAGGAGTCCTATTGAACTCAGCCTTTACTCACTGTAAGTAAAGGTTCCTTTAGTATCTTATATTTGTTAGCTCCATGACCACTTTGCTTGGACAGTCCAGTGCGGTTGGTTGTTCGGTCACTGGGTTCCAGAATTTCACAGGCCAAGCAAGCTGGTCAACTGGATCCTTCCACGAAATTATCTGGACCATCCTAGGAAAGAGAGTCTGATATTTCCAAACTGGTCAAACAAAATGTATTTGTTTCCCCTCCACATCCCCACACATGTGTTTTCAGGAGTGTGTTTCTAGAAGTTGATCCCAGACACCCAGAGATGGTGGAGAACTGGCTGCAGAATCACCCTGATCTGTCCCTCTCCGTCTCTGCTACCCACAAGGACTTGTTTGGAAAGTAAGTGTTTTCTCTTCCTCCGACTGTTCCCTTCAACTGCATGCAATTGCATCCAGCCCTGGGTACAGTCTCCCTCTGCACCCTCGTGTCTTGAGGTTAAACTCAGAGGGACTCAGTCACTAATTAGTGCACCCCCTTCCTAAACACCTGCATCCTTTGAACTCCTCAAACTTCTAATTTATCTTGAAGTGGGGGTAGTGCCAAGCATTCCTGACTCATCTTAGTGTTGACGTTATCTGATGGGATTATCCTTCATGGAAAATTGTGGCTTTACATGATGGGTGTGGATTCATATTCTCCCTGGCAAAATGTAATGCCGTGTTCATTCTTATCCCCAACAGGCCAAGGTTCCTACACGTCCAAAAGCATAAAGCAGGTGACCGCATCAACAAGAACAGCTTTGCTTGTCCGAGCGTTCATCTCCCTGGAGTTTCTTACTGAGTCGTCTGTTGAATCCCTGCACAGCAACAGGAACCTGGCCCTCCACTGCATTTCCCAGCATTCTGATCTCTTCCGATGGTCACTGGTGCATCCATTGCTGACAGAGAATTTCACTTGGAGGATCACTAGAAAGGAGGTGGGGCAGGGATCCGAGTCTGCAGAGGTGTTTCAGCTCCCACAGATGGTCGGACACAGATTATTAGCTCAGTCAGCTAAAGCAAGAAATAGGTATGAGAACCTAGCATAGAGGGAATCTCAATTCCAAGCATCTCATTTTGTTGAAGCTGCAAATACATATGATAAAAATACAACTTCTCCATGCATCAAATGGCACTTTTAGTTTGTAATGAACAGCATAGGTCTTGCCCTGGAAAAAAAACTTAAGATTGTTGGTAGGTCTGTTTTGTTTTAATTATTATTTTTTAAACCTCCACTTTCAAAGCCTATGAATTCTTTTGGCGGGTATGCTCGGAGATTCCAGAACTAATGCTTCAGATTCAATTCTGTCCCCGCAGCCCGCAGTGTTCCTGCGTGATCCTACCATGACAAAGCACCGAGTGCAGCCTGTCGCTTCTGAGCAGCCCTCCAACAACAAGCCAGCATGCACAGTCTTGCTCTCCTGAGCAATCTTTCAGTAACAAACCAGCACATTTGCAGCCATTATTCCCAAATGGGCAATATTCTACAGCTCAGACAATGGGATCCACAATGGAATGCTTTGTGAGGAAGATGTGGGATGGGTTTAAACCAGAATTTAGTGGTAATCGACTCCTTTCTTTGGCAAATCTAGTTTTAGACAGAAAGGGGAAAGCCTTGTATCTGAAGCCTTGAGGACTGTGTTTAGAAAGAGTAGCTCTTTCTGGCATCCTTGGCTTATTTCCAGAGTCCTGTTATTTTAGGTCCTGTTGTTTTAGCTCCAGAGCAGTAGTCTCCAATCTTTTTATGCCAAAGATCACTTTTTGAATCTACAGGCAACCCAGGATCTACCCCGCCCCTTCCCCGAGGCCTTGCCCATTCCCCAAAGCCCCACCCCACACTCAGCCACCCTCATTCACTTTCACCAGGCTGGGGCAGGGGTTTGGAGTTTGGAAGGGGGTGCAGGCCCTGGGCTGGGGGGGTTGCAGTGTGGGTGGGGCTCTGGGCTAAGCATCGGGCAGGGGGTTGGGGTGCAGGAGGGGGTGAGGAGTGCAAGCTTTAGGAGGGAGTTTGGGTGCAGGAGGAGGCTCCAGGCTGGGGCAGAGTGTTGGGGTGTAGGAGGGGGTACAGGGTGCTGGCTCTGGGAGGGGGGGTCAGAGCTGGGGCAGGGGGTTGGGGTGCAGGAGGGAGTATGTGGTGCTGGCTCTGGGAGGCGGCTCAGGGATGGGGGTTGGGGTGCGGCCTCCCGCCTGGCAGCACTTACCTCCAGTGGCTCCTGGTCGGCGGCAGGTGCAGTGAGGCTAAGGCAGGCTCCCTGCCTCTCCCGGCCCCACACCGCTCCCAGAAGGTGCCAACGCACCCCTGAAGCCCCTGGGGTGGAGGATGCGGGGGGCACGTGGCTCCGCATGCTGCCCCTCTCTGCAAGCACCGCCCCCGCAGCTCCCGCGGCCAATGGGAGCTGTGGGGGCAATGTTTGCAGGCAGGAGCAGCACACAGAGGGAGACCCCTGCGCACGCGCCCCCGGGGCCATGGGGCTGCAGTGGCCGGTTCTGGGAGCGGTGTGGGGCCGGGGTAGGCAGGGAGTCTGCCTTAGCGGCAGCCACACTGCACTGCCGCTGGAGATCGCGATCGACTGGGAGATCCTCTAGGATCGACGGGTTGGTGACAACTGCTCTAGAGGAGTGGGAGAAATGCTTCTGATATTCCGTTTGAGCTTTCTGTTTATACAGCACCTAGCACATTGTGAATGTTACAGGTAACAAATATAAAAACATAATAAAACAGTGCTGCATGTTCTGTAGATGGAAATGAGCCTCAGTTCAAACCAGCTCACACAAGAATTGCTGTGTAAAGAGTAAAATAATTATTTTGCGTATTGCAGTGGGCCCAAATCAAAACCCTCCTCCACGCTCCCCGTCAGATAATAATACATAGCTCCAATGTAGCATGTTTTACCCATAGATCTCAAAGCACTTTACCAAGGAGGTCACAAGCATTATCCCCATTTTACAGATGGGGAAACTGAGTCACGGGGAGACGTGATTTTCCCAAGGTCATGCAGCAGGCTAGTGGCTTAGCCTGGGATAGCAGCCAGGACTCCTGGCTCCTCAACAGTGCAGCTGGAATAGCGAAGGTTTAGTTCCTTGTTCTGTTTTATCGGGGGAAGTGACTCAGGCAATAGAGATGCCTGAAAGAGCAGGGGGAGAATTCACTGGAGTGGAGAGCCAGAGCAGTCTGTTATAAGTAATGGGAGGATTTAAAGCCAAGTTGCTTTCTTGTTTTGCAGTTGGTAGCTCCTCTCCTGGCCAGCTTTGGCCAGCAGGAAGGAATAGCCAAGCCAAGGAGTCTGAGCTGATCTCAGAGGAAAGCTGCGAGAAGTCATCAGAATGGACCGCACACTTGTGGGATGGAAATATCCATCTGGTGACCTCTGCGGTCTCTGAGCACAGCAGGACGTGCTGCTGGGATATCCTCCAAGGCTGGGCTGTGAGTGCCTGCTCAGACATTTAGTTGGGGCCTGCGTCAGTGCTGCCCACATCAAGCTTCGGCATATACATGTGGGGCTGTTTAGAAAGCACCACCAGATTCCAAGGGCTTTACTAAACAGCAGCACACTCTCACACTCCTTCTCTCTCTCTCTCTCCACTGCTTTCATAATCACTCTTTCACTCTTGCCCACTCCTTCATTCTCATTTTCCCTCTGGAGCCTTGCACACAACTTTGCAAGTCACCTCAACCCTGACTGATGTGCCAACGCCCAGACCCCAGCAAGGATCCCATCCAGAGCCCACCCCACCATCACTCACAACCCAGCCTTTACCTTGGTCCTATTGTTGCCTATTGCACAATCATGTCCCTGTCCCCTCCTCCCCCCAAAAGTGCATCCTGTGGGCCTGCCCCACCACTGGAAGTGGCCCCTCCGGTATCCAAAAGCCTTAAAAACAAAAAAGGACCCTCCTTCATGTGAACATGCTAAGAGAAATTTAACAAAAGAGCAGCAGGGAGGGTGGGACTCAGGCTCCATCTGCAATGATGCTCCCCCTGGGTTTGTGAGTTGGGGAACCATGTTTTGTCTTAGTTTTACCCACATTCCAGCTGAGATGATTCCCAGCAGTTTTGCAGGCCAGTGAGGGAGAGACCAAGCTGTTCAGAGAACTTTAAAAAACAACAACAAAACAACACATCCACCTAAACTGAAAGCTAGAACTGTCTTTTTAAACTGAGTTTAAACCGAGTTCCCCAACTCAGCAATGGGTGCAGCTACTAAATGGTACCTATCTTTGGAGCATATAGACAACCTGTAACTCACTCTAGCAGGATTTTTAAAAGCATGATTTAATGACTGGGTAAATTAATGATTAGATGAGGTTTCAGTGTCATCATACTGCATTCTTCAAGGCATAAGTGGTCACCTGCAGCAGTCCAGAACAAACTGCCCCTGTGCAGTTAAATGAACGGGTGGCAAGGAGCATTATAATTTTCCTCTGAATCATTGATTATTGGCCTCAGCCAAGAGCAGGATACTGTACTAGGCAGGGTCGTGGTCTAATCCAGCAGAGCAACTACTGTCTTCCAACATTTGTCTCTCTTTTTTAGAAAACTGATTACATCACAGCCATTGTGCTGTACTGTGATTCCGTGGTACAGAAGATCATGTAACACTGCTGATCTTCTCTTAAGGACAGGAGTGAGGGAAAATCCTGTTCTCTCCCCCATGTGGCTGGGCAGCATTTCCCAGCTCAGGGAACGTGTTTATCTAGTGTGTTCCATAGTGTCTGATATACCTTTGGCCAAACTCTCTTTGGTGCAGAAACTTTTCAAAACGGCTGTGACAGCTGTGAAGGAGCCACTGGCACTCCCAGAATTCCTGCTTTCTCAGAGGACTGGGCAGTTAGGGACGATGCTAACATGTAAACTATAGGATTTGAGATTAGCTCTCTGAGAAGTTTGCAATTGATTAATGAAGCTGCAAGAAGACTAACATTTCTGCTTACATTTTACACAATCAAATAACTTATTGGGGCTCATTCTCAGTTACTTGACACATGCTTTAATTCCATGGAGTCTTATCAAGGAGATGGCTTATTTTTCTGAAACAACATTTGAAGAGGTTTGTTTTTTTCTGTGGGGTTGGAGGTTGTGTTTTTAGGGGCTGTTGATGTATCTGCTAGGACCATTTCCTGGAAAAGGGGTTGCAAACCACATGGCCCATTAGGTGGTGCTGTGATCCCAGTCTCAGCTGCATTGGTGTTGGCTACTGCTCTTAAGCAGGAAGATATAGATGTAGAGACAGAGAACCGTTCTGGCTACAGGTATGGTTGCCAACCTTCCAGGATTGTCCTGGAGTCTCCAGGAATTAAAGATTATTTAATTAAAGATTATGCCATGTGAAGAAACCTCCAGGAATACATCCAACCAACACTGGCAACCCTCACTACAGGATTGTTATTTGTTTCAGAGTCACCCTGTTTTCTGAAAAATCTGTTCTGAAATACAGACACTATCTTTGTTTATAGGATTCTAATCTAGATACTATGGTGATGAGGGCTATTTGAACACCTGATAGTCATTAATCCGGAGCTCTCAGCCACTGTAGGTAGCAGCAGGGACCCCGGAGCCCTAACAATGGTGGGTGCTGAACCCTCCCCCCTCCCTATTTTGGCACAGTTATTTTTAGTAAATGTCATGGACAGGTCACAGGCTTCTGTGAATGTTTGTTTATTGCCAGTGACCTGTCTGTGACTTTTACTAAAAATATCCAAGACAGAATCTTAGCCTTAGGGATGAGCCATTTCATGAACAGTAAGAGCCAACCCCAAACTCACGCTGCTTTTTCTTTGAGGTTTGAAAAGTTGTGTTTAATTTTGTTTAAAAGATCACTTCTGTGCCCTGCTTGTGCTCCAGGCTGCATCCAGAGGCTGGAATACTGAAATACAGTGAGGTAAGCTGCCCTTGCATGACCAAACCAGGGAGTGCTGGAAATCTCAAGTCTGATCTGGCCAGACTTCAAGCCCAATGGCTCTTTCAGAGAGGTTCGGATGCTCTTTGGATGGGCACTGGTCTTTCAGATGCTTCTCCAACCTGAGGAGGGCCAAAGGTACAGTCCTGCTCCAGTCCCTTATAGTTGAAACGGCCTGCATCTCCCCAGCTTGGAGGAATCCCCAGAGGGCATAGGGCTGGCATAGTCACTCTTACCACACCCACTTCTTGCAGCCCAGGTGTTGTGAACATGGCCAGAACATGCTGTGCACATGCTGTCCCCACTCGCAGGTTGTCCTTCTGAGGCTTGCCAGGTGG